TTAGAAATTCAGTATTTCTTCACTGCTTAATTAAATATAGGGTCCTATATCCCATTGTACCACTTGGTACTGAAAAAAAAGAATTAAGGTCTTTATAGGGAAACTTATGCCACTTGTTTTGTGGCCCATAAAATTTAGAGAAGCTGATCTTTGATGAATCTTTTACTGAAAAGAGCAGTAAGTGTGAGCTCTAGATATCTCTTTTTAACATATTTATGAAAGCTACCTCAACCTTTGACTCCTCAGCAGAGGAGTTTTAAGCATTTAAGGTAGATTCTAGCAGTTGACTGTTTTCAAAAGCTTATGTTCATTATTGGTGCAAAGTGGAATATACTTTTTATAATTGGCCAACTGCCACCTCCATTCCATTTTAACAAATGTGGTAGACTAGAGACACTGATTTGATGTTACAATACATGAATTTAGTGTCCTTCTCTTCCTCCTCTACCACAGATTGTCTGACTGGCCTAGACTTCAGTAAGGACAAAGCTGGAATTGCTTTTAAGTTTTAAACTGTACCTTTATAGTAATTTCACATTCACATAAAGAGCTAGTATTTATTGTGTGTGTGCGCGGGTGGGTGGGTCGTTTTTTAAGCCTTAGATTAGACTTCAAGAACGACACTTACCTGAATATTAACTATGCAATCAGCATAGTTTTATTGACTTTTGATTTTCTAACTGTAAAAATAGTGACTTTGTTCTAGAGTGTTACAGATATGTATCTCCAAGCAGATTTCTAACTATATTATTTTAGTCAGAAGTGAGCATACAAATGCCATTGTTTTTTAAAGAATTGTGTTAGATTTTAATTTAATTTAAGAACTAGCTGGGCATGGTGGCTGAGCAGAAAGACTGTGAGTTTGAGGTCAACCTGGACTACATAGCCAGACCCTGTCTCTCAAAAAAATAAGTAAGAATAATTTCTAATTAGTTTTGGATAAGCATTTAAAAGTTACAGTTTTATTTATTCTGCAGTTAAGCCACCAAAACCATTCAGATTGTCAGTAATTTTAACTGTTCCTTTTAAGTCTCTCATAATTCATTTTCTGTGATAGTATATGAACAAATTAGCCAGTGAAACATTGAAAACACCATTTCTTCATACTTTGCTTCCTTTTGAAATTTTCCAAATAAACATAACTAGTGAAAATTTAAGGTACAAGTGTAGTTAGTTTACTGATATGTATTTCAAATATTAGCTAGATTTTTGCATGCCCAAATAGAATGTATTGCAACATCTCTTCCCCTAATGACAGGCATGTAGTTTGTTTAAATCATAGTCTCACTTGAAGATACAATATTTCTAGCAAAAGCAGTGGAAATTATTTTATTACAATGGAAACTTTTTAAAATGTATGATGGTAAGAGTTGCTAAGAAGGGGACAGTCACTAAATATAAATCTAGATAATAAAAGACTAATTTGGTAACATAGTGTATTAAAAAGTATGATGATATTATATGGACAAAAGTACTTGTGTTAGTGGATTGGTTAGTTTAATATGTGGTCTCTTAAGGGAAGATTTAGATTCTCAAACTATGGAGAAATTTGTATTAAGAATTTGCTTTTAGTGTCAGTGAGGTAGCTCAGCAGATTAAGCACCTGCTTAGGCAAGTGCCGAAATGGGGTTTGATCCCCAGCACCACAAGCCGCACTGGCCCACCCCTGGACACACTGAACCAGCTACAGAGATTGGGGGTGGTGGCACATGCCTAAAATGCCAGTGCTGGGGAGGCTGGAAACAGGAGGATCACGAGTCCAAGCTGTGTAGTGAGACCCTGTACCAAATACACTTAAAAAAGAATTTACTTTAAAATGTTTTACAGGTTATATGTGCCTTTTAAAGAATGTAATTACAGACCCCAGAAAGGAAATAACTAATGCACTTTTTTCCCTTTTAGCTCTTGGAGCCTGTCTGCCATCAGCTGTTTGAACTCTATCGCAGTTCTGAGGTTCGACTCAAGAGGTTCACACTGCAGTTCTTGCCAGAATTGATGTGGGTTTACTTACGGCTTACGGTTAGCCGAGACAGACAGAGTAATGGGTGCATTGAAGCGCTTCTCTTAGGAATTTACAATTTGGTAAGTTGAAAATAACAGGGAAGATGAAAATATGTTTTAAGTCCTCTGAAATACTGTGTAAGGGGTGCTTAGAGAAAATACTACTGAATAATTTATTTGAACTAATTGAGTACAAAAGTAATGATAAGCATTTTAGAAAACAGATGACGGGGCTGAGGAGATGGCTTAGTGGAGTAAGGGCCTCCCTGGCAAGCACAAGGGCCTGAGTTCAATCCCCAGTTCTGCCACAAAAAAAAAGAAAGAAAAAATAGATGAAACTGTTATTGATGAGATTATTAATATCTAAGGACTTAATTTCTTTAGACATGGTTTTTTTTTTTTTCTTACATGTTTTTTGGTACTGTGAATTGAATTCATTTGTCAAGCAAGTGTTGTATCCCTGAGCTACATCCCCGCCTGACTGAGGACTTGTTTCTTCAAATTAGAGTAATTTGACTGATATGAATGCTGTGTAGAGCAGAGTTGAACACTGAAAATACAGACTTAGAAATAGTACCTGCTTTTAAGACATTTCTATTCTGCTGGAAAAGACATGCTTACAGATGACCAAGCTTTATAAAGTTTGTGTGGAAAGAGGATTTCAGGGCAGAACTTAAATATTAGCTGAACTGGACTGAGTGTGGTGGCTTGTGTCTGTAATTCCTTACTTGAAAGGCTGAGGCAGGCGGATTTTTCAAGGCCTCCTGGAGTACACAGAGTGAGACCCGGTCTCATATATTACTGAGTTTATGGCCCACATCTGGCTGGGCCTTCCAAAGAGGATTTATGATTTTGTATTTTAGTATAGGGTCTACAGGGTCTCACTGTGTAGATTGGACTCATAGTGATCCGCTTGGGTTCAGCCTCCCAAGAGCTGGGATTACTGATGTTTGCCACCACGCCCAGTTTCACTTGCCCTTTCAGTTCGCCCCAAGGGCCGGGCCAACACGGCACACCAGGGATTGAACCCCGGCCACTGCATCTGTCTAAGCAGCCACTTTAATCCACTGAGCTATTTGGCCGGCCCTTATCATGATTAAGATTAGGAAGTAGGCCATAATTTTAAGAAGAAGTAGTCAAAGGCAAAAAAGTCAGATTGTCAGGGGCCGGGGAGATGGCTCAGTGGAATAAGCGCTTCCCTGGCAAGCTCAAGGGCCTGAGTTCAATCCCCGGTTCTGGAAAAAAAAAAAAAAAGTCAGATTGTCCTTGACAAAGGAAAGTAATTCTGTTTAAAGCACTATATATCAGTTTTAGAGTTTTTGAAGGGAAGAGTTTTTAAGTTTTAAGTTTTTCCTTGTGCATTGGGAGGGCTAGGGAAATACCTTGGCAGTCTTAAGTGCCTGCCTGGAAAGTGCAAGGACCAGATGCAGTCCCTGATACCACATGCTGTGCCGGCCACTGAAACCGGGTATAGTGGCGCACACCTGTAATCCCAGCACTGGGGAGGCTGAGATAGGAGGATCACTACAAGTCCAAACTGTGTAGTAAAACCCTGTACCAAATAAACACATAAAAGATTTTTTTTTAACATTATACAAATACGCATTGGGAAAGTAATTAGACAATTTTTAGGGGAAGAAAATCTCTAGTGTAAGATGATGAAACTCTAGAATTAGAGGTTTAGTTTAATCACTGTTCTTATATTTAAAGTTAGTATATGGGGGCTGGTGAGATGGCTCAGTGGTCTAAAGCACCAACTTAGAACAAGCTTAGTAAAGCAAATGGACCATGGTTCAATCCCCCAGCACCACATGCCAGCCAGCCCCGCCCCCTGCTGGGCTGAGCTGGCCACACACACACACACACACACACACACACACACAAATAAATAAATAAATAAAATTTAAAAATAAATAAATAAAGTTAGTGTATGTAACTGAGAAGAGTGGGGAGGTACTTGTGGGATTTTCATCTAAGGAGAGGGTATCAGTTAATGGGAAGAAGTCCAGCACACTGTTTGGCATATTACAATTTTTTAAATCGGAACATGGATACAGTGGAAATGAGAGGGGAGAAAAGAAACCATCATTTCTAAGATGCTCAGAGCCTGAAGGCTAGGGTGTGATCCTCCTCCAGATGGGAGGCCATGAGTGAAGGAGGAAGAAAGGCTGGGGAGTGAGAAGCGTCTGAGGATGCTGGTGCAGCTCTCCCCGCTCTGCGCAGGGAGCCAGGCAACTGGGTGCAGCACCTGCCCCGTACCACCCCCGCCAAGTTGGCGTTGGATACTTACCATAAAGGTGTGTGATTTTGCTGAATTGCCTTGGGTCAGGGAGGGGTATGGTTGAGAAGATACTGGCCAAAGACATAACACTCCTGTTTAGCTTTGTGCTGTGAAGTTCATTTGTATAAATATCCAGTTCACGTGTAGTTATTTTTCCTCGAGAATGTAGTTTGGTATAAAAATCTGATTAACAACCTATAAAATTGTTGTTTTGAGTTGGGATGTTGCTATGTTGCCAGGGCTGATCTACAACTTCTGGGCTTGAGTGGTCCTCCTGCCTCAGCCTTGTATAGCTGAGACTGTAGGCATGCATGCTCATGGCCAGTACAACTTGTCAATTTATTATCTGGTAAAATATTTGATACTACATTGTTTATGAAACTTTCCTCCAAAGAAATTCCTTCTTGTTTTTTGTTTTAATTTTGGAGACAGGCTCTTGCTTTGCAGTTGAGGCTGCAGCTCACAGTGATCCTCCTGCCTCAGCCTCCCTAGTGCTGGGATTACAGGCATGTGCCACCATGCCCAGCCTAAGAAATTCTCAAGAACCTTAAAACATCAGTGTTTTGCTTTTTCTCTTGATGTCCGTTTTAGGACATTTGTACTGAAGTGTCTGCGATTTGAAGTCTTAGGTTCTGTGTCTCTAATACACTTTGTTAAATACTCCAGAAAAAACTTGGCTCATATAATTTAGAGGCAGTGAAGTACCAAAGTCTCACAATAAATATTGTATTGCCCCAGGGCTCACTTCTCAGAGTCTTCATCACTAAAAAGCATTTCCACCATCAGACAGCACAAGGAGCAAGTGCGGGCATTAGGCTCACTGCTGTTTAGTTCAGAACTGGGTTCTGCTGCTTACTGATGATTTTATTTTATTTTATTTATTTATTTTTTTAAATTTGTGTGTGTGTGTGTGTGTGTGTGTGTGTGGCCAGCTCAGCCCACCAGGGGGCAGGGCTGGCTGGCATGTGGTGCTGGGGGATTGAACCACAGTCCTTATGCTTTGCCAAGCTTGCTGCAAGTAGGTGCTTTAGACCACTGAGCCATCTCACCAGCCCTACTGATGATTTTAAATAGCAGGTTACTCAGTTCCTTGACATCTTTCAACAGAATCACTAGTGTTAGTAGGATTAAAAAGAATTTGAAAAATACAGGCTGCAGGCTGGCCTGCCTCAGCCTCCTGAGTGCTAGGATTACAGGTATGTGCCACCACACCTGGCTAAAAGTAGTTTCTTTTTTAAATGAAAAGCTATTATTAGAACGAAATTGCCTATTTTGTTAACTTTCCTGTTTTTTCTCTTCATTTTTTTTTTGGTAAGACCTTTGTACATCTTTTTCTATTATGCTACTTTTATTATTTATTTTTTAATGTATTTAGTACAGGGTCTCACTACACAGATTGGATTCATAGTGATACTACTGTTTGCAGCCTCCCAAACCCTTGGATTAGAGGAGAGCACCACCATGGCCAGTCTCAGTCGCTGTCTCATTTTGCCCAGGGGGTGGAACCAGCCCAGCACACCACTGCACCTGCCTAAGCAGGCACTTCAGTCCACTGAACTATCTGGCTGGCCCTTACTGTGTTGAAACAGATCTTGCTATGATGCTCAGGAAGGGCTGGAGTTTGTGATTCTCCTGCCTCAGCCTTCAAGAGGGTTGGGATTATAAGTATATACCATCATTCTTGGCATGGATTTTCTTTTTTTTTTTTTTTTGGCAGAACTGGGGATTGAACTTGGGCCCTTGTAGGATTTTCTTTTAGAGCAGAAAATGTTTTCTGTATCACTGGGTTTCCTATAGAGCTTATTATAGACACTTAGTAAATATTTGATGATGTAATGATTCAGTTTAGTGTTTTATTATTAAACTATAATTTTATTCATTTTTTTAGTGTAAAGACATTCAGTAATGAGGTAAATGAAACAATATTTTGCAAAGCAGATTGTGTGAGAAGTTATTTATTTATTTATTTATTTATTTATTTTGTGTGTGTGTGGCCAGCTCAGCCCACCAGGGGGCGGGGCTGGCTGGCATGTGGTGCTGGGGGATTGAACCGCGGTCCCTGTGCTTTGCTAAGCTTGTTCTGAGTAGGTGCTTTAGACCACTGAGCCATCTCACCAGCCCCAATGTGTGAGAAGTTATTGATAGTACTTATGCAGTGTTTAATTATCTTTTTATTTTTATTTATTTATTTTTGTAGTACTGGGGATTGAACTCAGGACCCTGTACTTGCTAGGCAGGCACTTATCTTTTTTTGAGACAGAGTCTCACTATGTAGTTCAGGCTGGCCTTGAATTCACTGTGTAGTCTCAGCTAAGCACAAACTCACTGCTGTCTTGCGGACTCAGCCTGCCAGCTCCTGGGTTGCGTGAGGGAGGCATGAGCCACTACACTGAATCCTTCTTTTTAATGTTTTGATGTCTCACAAATATTGCACTGAAGAAAACATGTCCAATTATTGTCAGAAGTGTGTCCGCAGACTCCTGGCTGTTTTTAATTCCTTGATATGTGTGTCTTTTCTCTGTGGTTCTCAGGGTAGTTGGTTTCTGTTCCTCCATCTTTTCCCTCTGCCTTCTCTGCCTACCTTGTCTTTTTCTTAAACCATACTGGTTTTTCTAGTTTACACATTTCTCTTTTTCTTCCTCTTCTCTAGCATCTTTTGTCTGTCTCAACAGCCCAGGGGAGTTTTGTATTGCCCTTAGCAAGTTTCACCTTTCTCTCCTCCCCAAATATATACAAAGATAAATCAACAGAATATGGCTTCCTTGAAAATTCAGGAATAAAGTAGGTTTTTGACCTAGCTTTAATCAGGCCCTTTCATCTAGCTTAAACCTCTGAAGTAAGATGGCCAGCTTTGGTGGTAACACCTTTGACTAGGAGAGCTTGTGTGGTCTACCTAGGGTATTTCCTTGCCAAAGTTAGGGTGTGGTGTGCCTGCTCTGGTGTGCCTGCTCTCAGGTAGTCGTGCCTCCCCCGTGACCCGGGGCACTCTGAGGGGCTCTGCCAGGCAACTCCAGTGAGGCTGTTTTGGTGTTGGCAGCTGTCTGCTTGTTGCTTCCTTTGACGCTGTGTACTCGGTCCTGGTGTGCTGAGGATTGTCCTCTGGGGGCCCTGTCCACACCAGCATGTATAGTAACTCGTGTCAGGGAAGCAGGGTGAATAGAGCGCAGAGAGGCAGCTGTGTTTGGCCCCCAGGCACTATGTCTGCTGGAAGGTATTTATACACAGCTGAGGGGCAGAGGAGAGGTAAAGAGCAACACTGTCCTTTAACAAAGAAATAATGTACTCTTGAAAAAATCCTAAAGAGGGCCAGGGAGATAGCTCAGTGGTATAAGTCCCTGCCTGGCAAGTTCAGAGTTCCAAGTTTGATCCCAGGACTAGGAAGAAAAAACAAGTTTCTTTAAAAAAAAAAAAAAAAAGATCATAATAACTCAGCAGATAAAAGCACTTGCAAGCAGGTGCAGTAGTTCTTCTAGAATATCTGATCACCCTTGTTCTTTGTGTAAATACAATACGACTGATTTGTGTGCCTACTTTTAGCTTGGCTGTGATGTTAATGTAGAACATGCTCACTATCTCTGCATGTGTTAGATCTGTAAAATTTGAGAAGATATGGTAGGTATACTTTTATATATTACTATTTATAAAAATCTCTTAGTTCCTAATGCTGTATTCCATAAATTTAAAAAAGTCTTATAAACCCCTAGTTATTTGATTGTTTCATGATCTTTGTATACTTTTTGATTATAGGAAATTGCTGATAAAGATGGAAACAATAAGGTTTTGTCTTTCACTATCCCTTCTTTATCCAAACCTTCAATTTATCATGAGGTGAGTAACATTGTGAAGATGGGATTATTTACAATTATGTTGAGGAAGAGCTGCAATTTTTTATAGATAAGTATTCCTTTAATGACTTATCTTCCGACCTATTTCTTAAAAGTAGATTGTTTTGTTTTGACTGTCTTTGAGACAGGGTTTCACTCTTTAGTTCAGGCTGGTCTGAGACACTCTCTCTGTAGCCCAGGCTGATCGTATGCTCTCAGTGATCCTCCTGCCTCAGCCTCCTGCATTACCACACTCAGCCCAAAAGTAGATGATTGTTACTAGTAAAACTAAGCTGTGTTGAGAGGTGAAAAGTAATTAATAGAATACTTCCTCCAATTCTTGTTTATTTTTTTTATCAGCATTTTTTTGTTGTTCCTTATTTATGTATTTAGGACAGGGTCTACAGAGTATACAGGGTCTCACTATGTAGATCAGACTCATAGTGATTCTCCTGTTTTCAGCCTCCTAAGCACTGGGATTACAGGCGACCGCCACCACGCCCAGCTTCAATCACAGTATCAGTGTGCCCCTGGGGGACTGGCACGGGGGTGGGGGTGGGGAACGGAACCCCGGCCTCTGCACTCTGCTCTTTTTTTTTTTTTGGCGGAACCGGGGATTGAACTCAGGCCCCTGTGCTTGCCAGGGAAGTGCTTATTCCACTGAGCCATCTCCCTGGCCCCACTCTGCTAGTTTTTTAAGAAAATAATTTCAAAGAATGTTAACACTGCTAGGTTGTTTTGTCTTTTTGAGATAGAGTCTCACTTTGCAGTTCAGGCTGGCCTTGAGCTCGCTTTGCAGCCCAGGCTGGTCTTGAACTCACAAAGATCCTCTTGCCTTAGTCTTTCAAGTGCTGGAATTACAGGCATGTGTCACCATACCCAGCTACACTGATGTATTTTTATTTTTTATTTTAGGGAAGGGTCTGCATGGTGTTCAGGGTCTCACTACTAGATCTCACTTGTAGTGATCCTCCTGTTTACAGCCTCCTAGGAGCTGAGATTACAGG